GAGAGCCCCGAAAAGGCACGGAGGCTGGAGGGATCTACTAAAATCCTGGTCAGACCCTCTTCGCCCCTGCTTGAAACCCCTCTGGGGCTCCTCAGCGCGGCTGGGCTGAAATCCAAAGGCGTGTGGCCCACAATGCTCCGCGGCCCTTGCCTGCTCCCCGCCCCCACCTCATTGTTCTTTCAAGGGAGCCCGGGAACCCTTTCCAGTCTCGGGGCCAACTTGCTTGGAGCACGTTCTTTCCTTCCTCCACCCTTCACTAGTCCCGTCCAAACTCACCCTGCTGGTCTTGGTGCCTCCTCCTCAAGACATGCCCCCTCCCCACGGTTCTGTAGCTCAGATAATCTTGTAACAGCACTTAACTTGGGTGTGTCCCCAGGCTGAAGCCCAGTGGGGCAAGGCTGCGTCCGTGTCACTCGGAACATGCCCCCACGTTATCTGAATGAAGGATATGGAAAACGCGACAGCAATCCCTACTTTGCAGGCTTAGGGTCAACAGACAGACCACGTCCAGAGGGAACTCAGAGTCGGGTGGGGACTTGAAGACACTAAGCAGCCTGAAGCGAAAGTTTCAACAGACAAGTCCAGTCTGGACCCATCCTCAGAACCGGCAGATCCCAGGGCCTGTGACACCAGGCCCATGCTCTTTGCCTCTAACCCTGGCTTTTCTGCCCCCCTTGGAAGATATCCTGGCCTGAGGTGGCCCTGGCAGCACCAGGTCACCAGCCCACCTGCCGGCCTCAGTGACTTTCTCCAAAACCAGTAGGAGGTATGCTGGCTGCCAGGCGCAGAGCTGGGAGGGTGGGGTGCCCCCCACCAATCCACACGCCCGCCTGCAGGGTGGCTGGGTGGGGTCCCCGGGAGACCAGCGTGCTCTTATCCAAAAAAGAGGCTGTGGAAGCCTGGCAGAAGGCCCCTCACCATGAACACAAGGAGCAGGAACGCCCGCAGACTCTTACACCCAGCCCAGTGCCTCCTGGGCCGGTGGGGACGTGGAGCCTGCAGGATGGCCTTGCTCCAGGCCCCATGGTGGCCCATCCAGGCAGCAGGGCTGGGCAGGAGGAGAAAGGAACTGTCCGGTACAAGCCCTCCTCTGCGGGCACCCAGGGCACCCAACAAAGGACCCAGTCCCGGCTGGGTGGTGAGTCGCTAAGTCGAGAGAAGGCTTCTGGGATAAGGTGGGCCTCTGGGGCTGA